GGTTTCCAGATGACTTTGTTTTTGGAGGTTGTGGGGGGGGGGGTGGAGATTGAACTCATGACACAGAGGTAAAAACAAACAAACCTCACAATCAGATAAGAAAATCTTCCCTTTTAACAAACAGGGTCTTTGGTTTCAGTAACAAACATTAAAACAGAAATTCTCCCAAACCAAGAAATCTGCTGTCACCTCTCTCCTCCAAAATCATCTAGTCCGTGAGGTTGTAAGTCCACATGCCCAGCTTTATAGCCCACTAATACCATCACAACAGCCTCGAAACAGCCTTATCACTCTGGAAAGGCAACTACAGATTTACACCGAACTTAAGAAACCTGATGGAGGAAAGCTCCCTAACCGTACAATTATTTTAAGAGGCTTTTTTATAGGGATGCTTTGCTGTGACATTCTCCTAGTACATTTAAAATATGATATTCGCCTTTTTATTCCCCCTACCCAACACATACACAGTATTTTTCAGGTCTGTACTGGCTGCATAAAATGGGATATATCTAAAGCACAGGCTGTGAAAATGGTAGAAAATAGGCATACCTCATTATGACAAGATGATTTCAAAGGAAAACAGAACTGATAGTTGGGGTTGAAGGTTGTGGAACTGTTTTAAAAAACCAAACATATTTCCAGGGAAAAAGAATTCCACAAAAGCATTTTCATGCACCATAGAGGGCTGGCAAGAAGCATCCCCATCTAGTCTGTATGACTCTACAGGCAGAAAACAAAACACCTGTTCCAACACCTGACACTCCCCTTCCCTCAGCAAAGCAACCTGACCTTCAGCCGGCTATAAAGGGAAATGCTAAAAAGCCTTAAGGGGATGGAAGGAGTTCTAATTCACACAGATCCTCAACAAAGTTTCTTTTTGTTCACTCTGGTACCAATGAAGCCAACCGGCTAAATCCATGCCATTTAGCCATTTCTTCATTCATCACACACTGGTGTTAATGGTGATTTGTCCTCATTACCTACTCCAGTCCCTGAAATCCTGCAGGAAGCAGTTAAGTCACTGACTCACCCATTAAGTGTTGGGGGAAAAAGACAGCAGCTGGACAATGTCCCCGATCTGAGGGTTACAAGGCAACACATCAATATCAATGAGGCGTCGCAATCTAAATGCAGAGGGTGGTGACCAATCTGTCATAGAAACCCTGGACTGCCCAAGAGTGCAGCAGCAGGGCCGTCTACCTCTCTGCCTGCCTGGGGAACTGGCCCTACTCCAGAGCTCAGCCCTCCACCCTGGCCCTCTAGTTGGCTCCTTTCTGGTCGTCCTCCTCACTCAGTCCTCCTCACCCGCTAGGAGGAGTACTTGGTGAGACAAAGAGATTTCTGACCAGGCAGCTCTTTCTTGGGGAAGATAAAGTAGAAGGCAGAAATATGAATTGAACCCAGAAAAAATAGATAACAAATCTTTTTTTAATGTTTATTTATTTTTGAGAGCGAGAGAGCACACAAGCAGGGGAGGGGCAGAGAGAGAGGGGGAGATATAGAATCCAGAGCTGGCTCCAGGCTCTGACCTGTCAGCACAGAGCCTGATGCAGGGCTCGAAGTCATGAACCGTGAGATCATGACCTGAGCTGAAGTCGGACGCTTAACCAACTGAGCCACCCAAGCACCCCAAAAATATATACCAAATCTATCTGTAAGCCATTCTTCCCCCATCTCACAACTTGTTTATGTATTCCCTTCTTTGGAATTGACTTGCCTGCTGAACTCCAACTTAGTAGCAGGTCATCGCAGTTGCTTAGTAACTACGTTTCTTTAAAAATCCTTTAAAAAACAACCACCAAACCACTATTTCCTCAGAGCTCCTAATAGGTGGTTGATAATGCTGGGCCAGAGGGCCCACTTAAAATAGACTACAGAAAGAGAACAAGGCTGTTGCTTTAAGGGATCCACTTTCTGTTTTCTATATGCTACTAAGCTTTCAAGTCTATTAAATTGTGTTTTATTCATTTTTTTCCCATTCAGGTGAACCCTTAGACTTCCAGCCTACCCATCAGTCTCTGGCTTTTATTTGTAATGTCCACCAAGCACAAAGTAGCCTCTGAATAAATGATTGTTGGGTAAATGAGGAGCAAATTAGAAAACTGTGCCCAAGTCGATGCTTCTGTTCTCAAACTAATAAACCTAATGGTTTATTTAACTGATGGCTGCCAGTTTCACTGAGGGCTTGGGAAGGTAGTTAAGAAGTACTCCCATTTACTTTTATTCCCAAGGTTAACTGGGGGGAGCAATTGGGGTGTATGGTTTTTAAACACCCTTTTGTGATGTTAATAACCCACAGTGGGCATCTGATTAACAGACTTTGTGTCTAACAAAGAAAAAAATAATTCTAACCAAAAAAAAAAAAAAAAACAACCATTTAGAATAGTCTTAAGATAGATAGTACCTCATCTTAATATTAGAAGCATCATTTTCCAAGGACAAAAGCTCCACTTAAAAAACATCTGAATTCTGAAACCTCACAGTTTGTCAAGGTCCCTCCTCCCCTTCTTCCACTTATAACTAATGAAGCCATTGCTGGAAGGCATCTCCTAGGCTGAAGTCACTGCCTAGTCACTGCCCACCAGACCAGCCTCCAACCCAAAGGTCCCCACTTCAAATAGGCTACTTTAAAGAACCAACACTTATTACTTAACTCTCAAGTCTACTAAACTGTGTTTTATTCATTTTTCCCAGATGAACCCAACCATTTGTGACCCACAAAGATATCCACAGTGAGTCATCACTCCCTCGTTCCCTTTGCTAATCATGGAGAGAGAAATGAGGGGGTGGGGGCACAATCAGACGTCATTCCCTGAAACAGGGTTTCTCACTGACCACCTGGGATGCCTCTGAAAGATCAGGATTTTGGATACAACCCCAGACACACTGACTCAGAATCTATTCAGCAGGCCCATGAATCTGCATTTTCACCAAACATCAAGGTGATTCTGATGTCCAGTAAAGTTTGAAACTGCTGGTCTTGGCTTACAAAATTGAGTTTTATTTTGCTAGTTTAGGGAAAAGATAAGGTAGCTATCCTGCACTGTGTATGAAAAGGAAGATAGGGCAAGAGGGCTGGAAAATTCTCAAAAAAATTGGCAATACAATTGCAAATCCCACGGGAAAGGAAAGTGCTAGAGGCCTTTGTCCAATGTGCCTGCAAAGAAAGCTGATGAGTTTTACACTTTTTTATAATAGTAGCACATGATTTTTAAGAATCTTTAACTTTTTCCTTTAGACATTCCTGTATCACTACCCCACCCCACTACCCAAAAGTAACCAGTTAGTATTTCTAGCATGTATCCTTCTCAACTTACTTCCCTGTATATATTATTTATATACATATATTCACAACTCATACAGATTCCCATAAATCAATTTTTTTTCATCCTCTAATAAGTCATGGAAACCCATCAATGTCACTACATAGAGATATATCTCATTCTTTTTAATAGTGCAGAGTATTTCATATTATAGATAGAGCATAATTTATTCAGTCATATCTCAACTGATGTGCATTTAAATTGTTTACAATTTTTTACATTTATTTTTATTTTTTATTTGAGAGAGCGTGTATGTGTGTAAGCATGCATCAGGAGAGGAGAGAGGCAGAGGGAGAGAGAGAGAATCTTAAGCAGGCTCCATACTGAGTGCAGAGCCCAACATGGGGCTTGATCCCATGACCCTGGGATCCATAACCTGAGCCACCCAGGTGCCCATAAATTGTTTACAATTTTTAATATTACCCCCAACGCTGCACTGTATATTTGAGCATTTCTATAGAATAGATTTCTCAAAGTAAAACTGCAGGGTCAAATTATATGCACACAAAAACATTTGACTGGCACTACCAAACTGAACCCCAACCTTCTGAAACCTTTATGACTGGAAGTGAGGATAAATTGCTATTCTAAAGCTTCCAGCAGCTTTTCTGTTTCTGAAGAAGTAGAGGCAGAATCTACCTTTGAGGATAGATTGATCTTTTTTTGTGTGGGGAAAAACACTTCAATGAGACTTTTGGTTTGGCAAAAATAAAGGCAAGATTGTATTCTGGAATGGACAAAGACAAAGGGGAACCTCAAATTTTCTCCCTGCATAATCACAGAAAAGATCAGCCTCCTGTGGGTGGAGCTGCTGATTCAAAAGGCTTGTGCTACCACCTATATGATGCTCTACATGCACTCTGGAAATACTTACCTCTAGACTTGACCACTGTGCTTCCCCTACTTGATAACCTCCCTGTTACTATAAGCAACCCCCCCCCCCTTTCCCCTGCACACAACCAGTGTTTCCTCAAGTACTGCTGATGTTTGCTCTTAATTGCTTCCTCAATCCACCTCTTTCTAACTTTCACTGTTCTTGCCTTACTGTTGATTTTGCCTCTTCATTTTCTCTTGATTATCCTGAGTGATAGAAAGAAGCTATTCAAAGATTTTAAACAGATGACATGATCATGGGTGTGTGTGTATCACATTGGCTATTGTGGGGAGTGTGGTGCCTCACATGTAGATTTAAGTTTCTTAACATCAAAGGACCATGCTTTCTCTTTTTCTCTAGTTCCTACAGCCCCTAGTATAAGTAACCCCTGCTCAAAAATGTCCAACTTTGGAAAGCTCTCTATTTGTTCATTATTAGACTAGACAACAGTATTCAGGAGAAAATTCTTGGGTTAAGAGCCATCTCTTTTGCCAGCTGGTCCTAATTTTGGTGTCTAAAACAACACAAAAAATGATGGATTTCTTCTTCATAATAGTAGTATGAAGGAATAGTTTAAAGAAGGCCAAAGAGCTGGGAAAGCCTAGAGCAGGTTCCAAGAATACTGAATAAGCCTGAATAGAAGGTAGAGTATGAACAGGGGAAGGTGGGCGGCCAGATTGTAAGAGTTTGAGATAAGACTTTTTTTTTTTTTAAGTGTGTGAAAGGCATGGATGGATTTTATTTATTACCCTATATCTACAATTTAATTTGAGGTAAATAAAATATAAGCAACACATAAAAATGCCTATTTCTGCTACCATGTAATATAATTCTCCATCGTGAATATTGTGATAAAGCTAATGAAAACTCTATGCCATCACGTACTCTAGTTTCTTATAGCTGGTATTTTACAACTCTCATTGTCTGTGAAATCCCAACACACATAAGATTCTCCCATGAAGGGCGCAGGACTATCAGAGGGCGCAGAATCAGCTCGTGGACCCCTCCCTCCCCACACTGGAGCCTCAGTGTTACAAGTTGAGATCTAAAATAGCGAAGGCGATGGAAATGTGTGGGGCCTGACTAGATAAGACTTTTCTTGCTAGGCTAGGGGAACCACTGTTAAGTGTTTAAATAGGGACGTGATACAATCAGAACTAGGTTTGGGGGAAGATTATTCTGGGAATGTAATATAGAATAGAGGACAGAGAAATAACAGAGACCAGAAACCTCTTCTAATAGAGACAATGACCTGAAAGGCCTGACACAGCAGGGGGCAATTGAGAATACAAAGAAGGAACAAGAATCAAGAAATATGTTGGAACTAAAAGAGATAAAATTTGATATCTGATTGGATGAATGGATCAAAGGCTTCTGAGTTTTTCCCTGAAAGACCAGGAAAAAAGTACAATAACATCAGCCATAATAAAGAATAGTCATCATGGCCTCAAAATCAGCTATCCCTTCTCCAGGCTACATATTGTTACTTCTGTAAGTATTCTTCATCTAACATGGTTTCCAGACCCTGTACTATTTCTCCCTATTAAAATCCAGTGCCCAGAATTTGTGCTGATGTCATTTCCTTTACAAAATTATAAGCTCCTTGATGTGGTTTTTGTTTCCTTCTCAAAGTTTGGCAATCGGCACCCTTGTTGAGTCAACAAACTTTTATTGAATGTGTTAACTCATGATAAAGATCTGACAGGACAAACCCGGACACTAATTCTCAGTTCTGGCTCCTCGGGAACTAAGGTAAGAAAAAGTACAAAACTTTATCCTTCCACCCACCCAAAAATGCTAAAAACTGGCCAACAAAACCACAAAGCATTTATGCAAAACTCTGACATGTCAGAGGTTTCAAGATCTACTTAACAGCCTAATAAACCATCAAAGGGGATTGAAACTGCAATTTTCACTAATATGAACTGGACACACATCCAGGCCTCCAAATCCATCTCCCCTCTAAGACTTTGCTCTCAAATCCATCTGCTTTCCTAATGACAAAATTGTCCTCAGAATAAAAAATGACATTTGTCACTAATTCAGAAAAGCTGAAAGGGGCTCAGTTTCTCAGCCCACAGAACATTTATTTGGGCCTATTTGATTATGGGTAGGAAAATGTTGTAGAGATAGGAAACAAATGGTACCAACAAAGGGTGCTTATTCTGCGTGTGGTATTGACTACCAATGATTTGAATGACGATAGAAAAGGGAAATGGTACAAAATAAAATAAAAGCCATGCCTATCAAATGTGGAAATGACAACAAAGCTGGGGAGACAACTGGATGACAGACTTCAGACACACAGACTGTGACAGGTAGCAACAGTAGGAAGACACACAAAAAAGAAATGTAACTTCCTGACCTTGAGTCCCCACACAAATACTAGGCAGGGAAGACAGGGCTGAATAACAGCATGTATATTGATTAGCTAGAAACTCCAAATAAGTTGATAGCTGCCCAAAGGCTCATTTATTCTTACAGAAGTACAGATGTTCGAATCTCAAACTCACACAGCTCTTGTTTGCCATTAGCTGAGCTGCCATGAGCTCAAGGGAATCACCCATTGTGAAAATGTACAGAACTGTGGTGAAAATGAAACAACCACCTCATGAGAGTCACAGATTTTGATGAGTATGAATGGTATGTTAGGTTTCTACAGTTGACTTTGGAGTACAAACCCTCAGGACTGTTTGAATTACAAGCATCTGTCTCAACAATATAGCTCATGTTTTCCAAAGAAATGGATGGACCTGAAAGTAAAATAAGTCCATCAGGAAGGTATCCGTCATTATGCAGGTAAGTATATGAGTAGCCAAATAGCATGTTTCTACAATCACAAACTGGTCTCTAGAAAAATAATATGAAGCCTATTGCTTGGGTTAGTTTTTATTTTTTTAATTTTGATTTTGTTTTTAGTTATTTGAGAGAAAGGGAGAGAGAGAGTGAATGAGGGGCAGGGGGGTGGGGGAGAGAGAGAATCCCAAGCAGGCTCTGCACTGTTTGCACAGAGCTTGACGCGAGGCTTGAACTCACCAACTGTGAGATCATGACCTGAGCCAAAACCAAGAGCTGGATGCTTAACCAACTAAGCCACCCAGGTGCCCCTACTTGGGTTAAGTTTTTTTTTTTTTTTCCAACGTTTATTTATTTTTGGGACAGAGAGAGACAGAGCATGAACGGGGGAGGGGCAGAGAGAGAGGGAGACACAGAATCGGAAACAGGCTCCAGGCTCTGAGCCATCAGCCCAGAGCCCGACGCGGGGCTCGAACTCACGGACCGCGAGATCGTGACCTGGCTGAAGTCGGACGCTTTAACCGACTGCGCCACCCAGGCGCCCCTTGGGTTAAGTTTTTAATTATGGGGTCTACTAATTAAAGAATCTAAGACCTCTAAAACTAGTCAATTCCTCAGGTCCCTTCTATTTTTGACATAATTATGATTTTATGACCAAGACAATGAGGTCTATAAGGAATCAAACCTAGGATGAGTCTAACTTAATTTCTAAATATGATCTATAAGAAGGAAATCTTCACATCTGCAAATAATCCTAAATTCTCTGGGTCAAAAATAATACCAAATCAATGGGTAGAAATTGCAAAAAAAATTTTTTTTCTTAAGGCTATGTGAGAGGCAGAAAAGTGGCAAACAGGCCTCAATATGAGCAAATGTTGCTTGAAGGAAAATAATTTCTGCTCTACTTTTAGAACAACGGGCTCAGAAGTATGACTAACCCAGAACAGACACCTCAGTGTCATTGTTCTGGTCCCTGCACTGCCACAACGTGCTTCCTCAGCCATACACACACATAGCCAGGGTTCTGGATAGCATCCTGATACTGGAAATGAAATAGAAAACAAGACATGCTAGATCAGCATGCCATGAAAGATTCCAGTTTATCCCTATATAGAGACTGGTTGTCTCTGTCCCCCAAAGAGCTTACTGAGGATGCAGGAAGAGCTACTGAGTGAAAGTGCTATAGTATATAAAGGTTTCATGACATTCAGCCACCTGGTCTGAAATGAGTAGAGTGAAAAATGCTTTGATCTCACATCAAGCTAAGAAAAGGTTATTCACAGGACCTTGCCATTGGTCCTTATCACCTATCCCAGGTGACCCAGCAGACTGGGGTAAAAGCCTCAAATAGGGCCTTTTCTCTATTTCAAAGGAACTTCATGTAGTATATTCAAATGCAAGATTAACAAAGCCTTTAGCTCCTTTATCCATAAGTCAAATTGTATGTAAGAACCACCCCAAGACAAAAACCTCATCCAGAATACATGAGAATGAAGTCAGAATATACCTTTCCCTGCTCTCAAGGTAGTGGGTAATCTCATCCTCAACAATCTTTCCCACATAACAGAGATGCTACAACATGGTGACTGAAACACAACATTTTATGACTAAGCTTGCTAACCTGAGTTAATGTTAACAGATTTCTACATTTTACCAGGTCAACTGAGAGTCTAGAGTCAAAAGTTCTTCAGAGTAGTCACTCTGACAGGATCACAAATCCACTGGTAATCTTTATTGGGGTATCAACTGATTTTTCGGGTCAAGTTTCTATAGAAGGAACCCAGAAAATGGGACCTAGAGAAAGCCTCTTCCTGTTAATGTGGTCATCTGTGGCCACTTTTCAGTAACTGATAATTCCAGAGTAAAATATTACAGAAGAGAATAAGAAACCCAAAATCCAAATTGTGTGTGTGTGTGAAATAAAAGATTAAAGTGGGATTTCAAAACAGTAGGGAAATGATGTTTTATTTATATGTAATAAATACTACTGAGGAGAACCCAGGTAGCTCAGTCGGTTGAGCGTCCGACTTCAGCTCAGGTCATGATCTCTCAGTCTGTGAGTTCGAGCCCCACATCGGACTCTGTGCAGACAGCTCAGAGCCTGGAGCCTGCTTCTGATTCTGTGTTTCTCTCTCTCTGTCCCTCCCTGACTCACACTCTCTGTGTCTCTCTCAAAAAAATAAATAAATAAATTATCAAAAAAATTTTTCAAAAAAAACGCTACTGAGATAACTCATTAAACATTTGGAGCAAAAATAAGGTACTATCCTGCCTTACATCATACATAAACTCTAGGCAGGTTAAGGTTTTAAATGCAAAAACAAAAACATTAAATAACTAGAAGAAAACAAAGGTGAATATTTATTTGCTGTCAGGATAGGGAAGGCCCTTTTAACCTACAGGTAGACGCTAAATGCATAAAAGACAACAGTGATAGGTTTGACTACATAAAAACATAAAATATCGACACATCAAATTAAAAAGGCAAACTACAAACTGGGAAAAATCTTTGTAATATACATGACCAAGAATTATTATTCTAACTACATTTAAGCTTTTACACATTCATAAGTACTGATGGGGGTGTCTGGGTGGCTCAGTTGGTTAAGAGTCCAACCTCGGCTCAAGTCATGATCTCATTGTTCATGGGTTCGAGTCCTACATCAGGCTCTGCGCTGACAGCTCAGAGCCTGGAGCCTGCTTCAGATTCTGTGCCTCCCTCTCTCTCTGTTCCTCCCCCACTTATGCTCTGTCTCTCTCTCTCTTTCTCAAAAATAAATAAAACATTAAAAAAAAATTTTTAAGTACTGAATACACCTCAGCAGAGAAATGGGAAAAAGGTGTGAACAGGCAATTCACACACACACAAAATGACCAATGAACATATACATACACACACACACACACACACACACACACACACACACACATTCAATTCTATTATTAAAAAAAGAAATAGGGGTGCCTAGGTGGCTCAGTTGGTTAAGTGTCCAACTTTGGCTCAGGGCATGATCTCGTGGTTCGTGAGTTTGAGCTCTACATTGGGCTCTGCACTGACAGCTCAGAGCCTGGAGCCTGCTTCAGATTCTGTGTCTTGCTCTTTCTCTGCCCCCCCCCCCCCCATTCTCTCTCTCTCTCTCTCTCTCTTTGTCAAAAATAAACATTTAAAAAAGATATAAAACTGAACTATATATGATAAAGTAAAATTAAAATATAAGTTAAATAACATTTTTTACCTATCAAATTTGCAGAAATTTAAAATAATACTCCATGTTAGCAAGATCTCAAACTACACACTCTTTATACTGTTGGTGGAGGTAGAGCCTAATTTGGCAAAATATATCAAAAGTCTTTTTTTTTATTATTTCTTTTAGAGAGGGAGAGAGCTCAAGTGGGGGAGAGGAACAGAGGGAGGAAGGAAGAGAGAGAGGGAGAGAATCTCAAGGAGACTCCATGCTCAGTGCAGAGCCCAATGTGTGGCTCGATCCCACAACCCTGGGATCATGACCTGAACTAAAACCAAGAGTTGGATGCTCAACTGACTGAGTCACCCAGGTGCCCCTCTATCAAAAGTCGTAAACATGTTCATACCCTTTGGACCAATAATGCCGCACAAAGGAATCCATTCTGAAGAAGCAATACCAGATTCACAAAAGTCTCATACAAGGATATCCATCAGTGCTATTTATAAGATAAAACTTGGCAACAACTAATGTCCACCAAAGGGAATGGTTACAGGAATTATGGCAATACCTGAAGAAATATTATTTAACTAGTAAAAACCATTTTAGTAAGATATCCATGACATTAAGTTAAAAGAAAGGATACAAAACTGTCTAAATTCAATGATTTCAGTCTTGAAAGAGATTCATATATATTATATGATACATAAAAGTTTGGAAGGAAATGACACCCAACATATAGCCACAAATACACAGACATAAACTGGTTATTTCTGGAGGTAGTTTTACAGGTGATTTGAATTTTTTTTTTTACTTTGTATTTTTCTATATTTTCCAATTTTCTATAAATCTGAATGCCATAGTTTTAAAAAAAATTTTTTTTAACATTTATTTATTTTTGAGAGAGACAGAGACACAGTGTGAGTGGGGTAAGGACAGAAAGAGAGGGAGACACAGAATCTGAAGCAGGCTCCAGGCTCTGAGCTGTCAGCACAGAGCCCGATGCAGGGCTCGAACTCATGAACAGCAAGATCATGACCTGAGCCAAAGTCAGAAACTTAACCGAATGAGCCACCCAGTGCCCCCCCAAATGCAATACTTTTATATCCAGGAAAATATGAATATGATTTGAGGACGGTGGGGAGGCAGACTGAATAGGACAGGCCCAAGGACAAAGTCAGGATGCACAAATGCATTAGAAACTCCCCTCCACACTGCTCCTGGCTCATTCATCATTTTCCTCTGGGATTGATCATTCAACCAGTTGCAGACAAATCCCCTTAGACATATTATCACCTCACATCTTATTAAAAAACGGATCAAAAAAGTGTTGCCAATTCCTTGCCATAACCTAGATATACCACATCTACCCTATTTCCCTGATCTACCAGTCCCACAACCCTGTCCCATGAAGGCAATCTGGCCCGTCTGACATGACTTGTTCGAACCTGGTAAACCAATACCAGTTCTTATGCTTACTATTTCTTTTTCTGAGTGTTTACAAAATAACACTTGATAATCTAGTCTGGAATTTAACCCAAGATTTGCAACATTCTTCCTTTTTGAAAATCTGAAGAACATGTATGTAAACCAGACCCTTAATGTATTTAAATAAAATATATTATATTTACATCAAATATATTTATATAAAATATATTAATTTTCTTCTTTTGGTCTATTCAAATTTTTATCATTAATTTCATCAAGTGGAAAAACTCCTAAATCTTTAGGGCTCTTGTTTTTTTTAAAGATATCTAAATTCAATGAAAAGTAAACAAAGGTCCATTTCAAAGCAATGAAATCTTCATTACAGAAAAGAAGAGGGGAAGACAAGACCCTTATTAAAGCAAGACTGTTATTAGCTCAAGACTTTGTGATTCAATAACAGCCTAGGTACAAACAACTGTAAATTGAATTTTCAACTCAATTCCATTTATCTAACACAAAATTTGAGTTAGAAGAAACATTTTGCACAGTCCCCTCATTTTAAAGATCAGAAAATTGAGGCCCAAAGAGGTTGACTAGCATAAGATCATTCAGCTAACGTAACGTCAGAACTAGAATCCAGGGCCCTGGCTCTCCTCCTCCAAGATGATTCCCATAGAATTTAATGACCTAGTGTGTGTGTGTGTGTGTGTGTGTGTGTGTGTGTGTGTGTGTATGACATATATAGCATATAAATATATATATATTAGCATATATATGCACACATAAAAATAGATTTATATATATACACATATACATATATTCTTAACATAAGGGAGCAAAAACTATTTTTTAATTTCAGTGACAATGACAAGCCCAAGTTATTCTACTTCTCCTACTTCTCTAAAACAAGGAAACAATTTCCCTATTACAGAATATAAGGCTAAACCTTTAAAGAAATCAACAGTGTAAGTAACACGGTCAAGATTTCAACAAGCAGAATGCCTAACTAGCTCAGTCGGTAGAGCATGTGACTCTTGATCTCAGGGTTATGGGTCTGAGCCACATGTTGGGTACAGAGATTACTTTAAAAAAACTAAAAAAAAAAAAAGATTTCAACAAGCAATACACTGAATTAAAAGGATTATCTTTAATTTTTAAATTGTTTTTGGGGCGCCTGGGTGGCGCAGTCGGTTAAGCGTCCGACTTCAGCCAGGTCACGAACTCACGGTCCGTGAGTTCAAGCCCCGCGTCAGGCTCTGGGCTGATGGCTCAGAGCCTGGAGCCTGTTTCTGATTCTGTGTCTCCCTCTCTCTCTGCCCCTCCCCCATTCATGCTCTGTCTCTCTCTGTCCCAAAAAATAAATAAACGTTGAAAAAAAAATAAAAAAAAATTGTTTTTAAATTTCTTTATTTTTGAGAGACGACAGACAGAGCATGAAGAGGGGAGGGGCTGAGGGAGAGGGAAACACAGAATCTGAAGCAGGCTCCAGGCTCTGCACTGTCAACACAGAGCCCAACGGTTGGTGGGGGGGGCGGGGGGAGGGCTCAAACTCACGAACTGTGAGATCATGACCTGAGCCCAAATCGGAGGCTTAACCAACTGAGCCACCCAGGCATCCCAGGAAATCTTTAATTTCTTTATTTTTGAGAGAGATACAGAAAGTAAGCAGGGGAGGGGCAGAGAGAGAGGGAGACAGAGAATCCAAAGCAGGCTCCAGGTCTAAGCTATCAGCACAGAGCCCAAGGCAGGGCTCAAATCCATGAACCACAAGATCATGACCTGAGCTGAATTCCACTGAGCCACTCAGGCGCCCCTAAAAGGAATCTTAAAAAGCTATAACTAAATAAGAATTCATTCTCATTACTATATATTATTGTAATCATTCTACAGTATCAGTAAAACTGATGTTTTATAAGATTTTGTCTCAAACCATCAAACAAGGCCAAGAAAGCATCTGTCTAGCTAAGTGCAGAATGCTTTGCCACCTCTAGCTACCATGTCCCTGGGCTACATGGAAGACAGAAAACCCCAGCATAAACACACATATCTGTATATATAAAGTTCAGCCCAGGAGGCAAAACTGGAAAGAAAGCTAACATTTTTTCTCTTCTAAGTTTACATACAGGGTAGGCCTAAAAGGGTGCAGCCACTTTAGGAAAAAGTTTGGCAGTTCCCCCAAAAAATTAAATGTTAAGTTACCTTATGACCCAGCAATTCCATTCCTAGGTGTGTATGTATACGTGTGTGTGTGTGTGTGTGTGTATCTCCAAGAGAACTGAAAATATGACCACACAAAAATTTGTCCATGAATGTTCACAGCAGTAATAGTCAAAGGGCAGAAACAACTCAATTTTCCATCCTGATGATGAATACATAAACAAAATGTGATAAAGCCATAGGGTGGAATATTATTCATCCATGAAAAGGAATGAAATACTGACACATGCTACAACAGGGATGAACCTTGAAAACACTATGCTAAATGAAAGAAGCCAGACACAAAAGACCACATGTGGTATGACTTCATTTATATGAATCAGCCAGAAAAGGTAACTTTATAGAAACAGAAAGTAGAATAGTGGTTGCCTAGGGCTAGGGGAGGGGAGAAGTTGGAGGAAATGGGGAGTGACTGCTAATGGGACAGGGCTCCTTCTTGGGGTGAGGAAAATGTTCTAAACGTGATTGTGGTGGCAGATGCACCACTCTGAACATTCCAAAAAACACTGAACTGTATGCTTTAACTGGGTGAATTGTAGGGCATGTGAATAAGCTGTTTTGTTTTTAGGTAGGCCCTATCACTTTTATCGGGTCAGCATTCCTAGCTAAAATTATCTACACCCAAGACTTCAGCCCCTCCAGCACACAGTGATAAGAGTGAAACATAGTCCCTTACCCTCCTGGTTCCCTCTAATCACCTGAGTAATAACATAGTTGGCCCGCTCTGGTCTTGAGTCAATTTGGAAACAGGGTGAGAATCAAATCAGGGGCTCAAGCAAAAGCAAAAATGAATGGCAAACAACAAGCATGTGAAAAGATGCTCCATGTCACTAGCCACTGGGGAAATGCAAATGAAAACCCCAAGATATTACTTCAAACCCACCAGGATGGCTAGAATCAAAAAGACTACCACTAACAAGCATTGGTGAGGATGTGGAGAAAGTGGAACCCTCACTCTGCTGGTGGGAATGTGAGGTGCTGTAGTTGCTATGGAGAACAGCCCAGCCATTCCTCAAAAGGCTAAACATAGAGTTGCCATATGATCCAGAAAGTATACATACCCAAAAGAAATGAAAACACATGTCCCTGTAAAAATTTGCATGTGGATGCTCATAGAGCATTATTCATAATAGCCCCAAGGTGGAAACAACCCAATTATGTCAGCTGATGAAGGGATAAACAAAATGTGTTGTATGCATATAATAGAATATTATTCAGCCATAAACAGAAATGAAGTACTGATACAGGCTACAACATGGATGAAACTTGAAAACAGTTTTAAGTGAAAGTAGCCAGTCATAAAAGACCATATATTATGTGAACCCATGTATATGAAATGTCCAGAATAGGTAAATCCATAAGAGATGGGAAGTAGATTACTGGTAGTACTAGGGGAGATGAGGACATGGTTACAGCTAAAGGGTATAGTTTTCCTTCTAGGTTGGTGAAAATGTTCCAAAATTGATTGTGGTGATGGCTGCAGAACTCTGTGAATATTCCAAACACTACTGAATTGCAACCTTAAATGAGTGAACAGTAAGGTCATAAAAAAAGGAATGATAAATATGACTCCATTTCACTTGAAGAAATAAGAAATGCCTACTTACTGAATTAATATTCTTAAACCTGCACACATTTGCTATCATAGTCAAAGTAAACCAGCTCCCACCTTTTTGTTCCTCCTGGGTTCCCCCACAATACCATTCTGTACTAGACTTCCTGAGTCCGCTTGCCTTTTTTAGGAGCCTGTAGGTCTCCCTCAGGCCTCCAGCGGCTGGTCTACTCCCTGGTTACTTCTTCCTTTGGTGCAGGAGTTTGGGGCCATCAGGACTAAAAAGCTGACATTTGCTAGTTGGTTTTACTCCGTTTGTTAACAGCTTCTGGCACCTAAAGAGTCTCAGAGCAGTACCTTCTGCTGTGTCCAGATGTATCTGGGTAGAAAGGGGGGCTCACCAGCTTCTCTGCTGTGATGGGAGGTAGTTGTGGCCTAGAGGCTAAAGCCCTGGACCTGAAGTTCTCAGGAAATCTGATTTGGAACTTTGCTTCTGCCCTTTACTGGCTGTGTGACCTTGAGCAAGTCACTCAACCTCTCTGACCCTCACCTTCCTCATCTGTACAATGGGGATGATACCACCTATCCCGCAGGGATATCCTGAAGATTGATATTTACAAAGCCATCTGGAACACAGACATACTCACTAATTCAGTACCACAAAACATGGGACAGGCTGTAGACTAAGTGGTGGGGACACAAACATGAATGCAATAGGAGCTGCCTTTAAACTGTTCGGTGCAGAAATGCTGTTAACAGGACTTCATTTTCTGCCTTCCCTACATTAGCCTTCTTTCAGGATAGCAGAAGGAGTTTCAAAAGTTTAATTCTTTGCCCTGATAAACTTTCACCTCTGTGCTCTCAAGAGAGATCACACTGATAGGGCAGCAGCTATGTTTACATCTTTCATTCTCAAACAAGGGGAGATGGGATGGTTACTTAAGTGTTATGGGAAAAACACTCCTTTTATGCCTTCAAGTCCTTATCACCACTAATCCTTAACTCTTTGAGGCCTTACCTGCAGGCATTTCCAAGATGAAAGTGTGCTTACTCAGCACTTTAAAGTTAAGTATGGAAAACTCATTCTCTCTCACTCCCTTACCCCCAGCCTGTCTGGATTTACATGCCAGGTGGAAAGACTGGTCACAAAAGATCAGTTCCCAGTTTAGCTACTTTAGTGACCAATTTCTGGCTCACCTCCTGACTTGGGGCTCAGGGTTTACTCTAAAAACAAAAGGGCTTTCCAGAAAAATACTAGCTCAGCTTATAAACAGAGGCTGACATAAAGTAACTAGGGGGGGAAATGTAGGAGATAGTTTCTAAATTGTTAGTACACGAAGCCCATCCTTCCCTTGGTGGAGCAATTTCACAAATCATAGAAAAATATTTTTCATTTTAGAATAGATTGGGAGAGAGCCTTTGCCAAAAGCCAGTTGTTTAAATTTTCAATTTGAATTTTAAGCAGGATTATACGTGCCCAAGAACATCATGCTATTTTTAGCTAATAGGTAGGATTGCTGTGTCCACAACAGTTTAGAGCAATCAAGAGTGAAACTATTAAATAGCATCTCTCACTGTGGCACCTTATCATTTAGCATTTCTATTCCTATTTTAATATTTTCCAAAGTTTCATCATAAAAATACACGTAAAGCACCCATGCTAGGCACAATACGGAATTAAAATAGACATGGTTTCATATCTTCATTATAGGTTTAACCCACACTGAACAAACCAGATACATGAAAGAACCTCAGGGTTAAAACATTCCCATCAAGCTGCCATCCAGCCCCTAAGTGCTGAGGGGAGATACACTAGGAAGCAATTGTCCTACCTACACTTACCACCCTTCCAATGCTTAAACACTCTCTGTTTTAAAAGGAGAGGGGTAATGAACATGTTCTAAAATACACTGAAAGCCACTGAATTGTATACCTAAATGGGTGCACTGTACGGTATATGAATTTTATTTAAGCCATGAAAAAAAAGAAAAATTATTCTTACTCTGTTCCAATTAGTCAAAGCTATTTTTTATGTTTTATTCATTTTTGAAAGCGCACAAGCGGGGAAGGGGCAGAGAGGGCGGAGGATCCCAGGTGGGCTCTGCCCTGACAGCCACGAACCCGATATGAGGCTTGAACTCATGAACTGTGAGATCATGACCTGAGCCGAGGTCGGACGCTCAACTGACTGAGCCAACCAGGCACCCAAAGCTATTGCTTAAGCTCTCATGTTAAATGTATCTAAAGGCTGCACTGG